GCGGGCTCAGGCCATCCCCTCACCTCAGCCTCCCAAAGGCGCGGGGTGACAGGCTGAGCCACGGAGCCCGGCTCATTTTTTAATGTGTTGTAGAGATGGGGCCTCACTGTGTTGCCCAGGCTGGTCTCGAACGCCTGGGCTCAAGCAATCCTCCCGCCTCAGCTCCCCAAGTGCTGGGATGACCCAGCCTGCACTCCCCAACTCTCCTGGCTTTCCTAACCCTCAGCCTGGCCCTGGTGGGATCCCCCTCTCCCGGCCTCTTCCCTGCCCCCTTGGCAAATCCCCCAAAATCCCCAGGGGCTTCTTGGCGCTCTGCAGCCACAAGCAGGGAGGCGGGAGTGTGGTCGGGAACCCCCGAGCGTGTCCGGCCTCTCCCTGGGGTTTCTTGACCGCGGGGAGAACATGAGAGGTGGCCCCGCCGCCCCAGGCCGATGTCCCTGTGCCCCGCTGCGCCCTGGAGTCTGGAGGGGCTGGCACGGAGAGGGCGGGTGCCTGTCTCTGGGTCGTGAGTGAACCCCTCGCTGCTGGTGCAGACTGTCTCTCCGTCAGTGCCCAGGTCTCTCTGGGTCCCTGTCTCCTTTGCGGATTGACTTCCTTCTGTCTCTGTCTGTCTATCTCTGTCTCTCTCTGCTTGTCTCTTTCTCTTGCTCTATCTTCATCTCTGTCTGTCCCTGTCTCCCCTCTCTGTGTCTCTCCACTCCCCATCTCTGTCTCTGTCTCTCCTCTCCCTCTCTCTCCATCGCTGTCTCTCTGTCTCTGTCTCTCTGTGTTTTTCCTCTTCCAGTCTCTCTGTCTCTATCTCTCTCCTCTTCCTGTCTCTCCCTTTCTGTCTCTGTCTCTCTGTGTCTCTCCTCTCCTGTCTCCCCATCTCTGTCTCTCTGTGTCTCTCCTTTCCCTGTCTCTGTCTCTGTGTCTCCTCTCCCTCTCTCTCCATCTCTGTGTCTCTGTCTCTCTGTGTCTCTCCTCTCCCATCTCTCTGTCTCTGTCTCTCTGCCCCCCCCTCTGTGTCTCTCCTTTCTCTGTCTCTGTGTCTCCTCTCCCTCTCTCTCCATCGCTTTCTCTGACTCTGTCTCTCTGTGTCTCTTCTCTCGCTCTCTCTCCATCTCTGTCTCTCTGTCTCTGTCTCTCTGTGTCTCTCCTCTCCCCATCTTTCTGTCTCTGTCTCTCCGTCTCTGTTTCTCTGTCTCCCCCCGTGTCTCTCCTTTCCCCGTCTTTGTCTCTGTCTCTCTGTCTCTCCTCTCCCTATCTCTCTGTCTCCCCCGTATCTCTCCCCATTTCTCTGTCTCTGTCTCTCTCCTCTCCCTGTCTCTCCACCTCTGTCTCTCTGTCTCTCCCCATCTCTCTGTCTCCGTCTCCCCATCTCCGTCCCCCCCACTCTGTGTCTGCCCCGTCTCCCGGGGTTCCCTCCCAGCTGCAGCCGGAAGGAAGGCCTGGGGGACCCGCTGGCCGGAAAGGCCGGCAGCCCCCACTTCTCCCTTTTCGGCCCCCTCCCCCACCCCGACCTTCCGCACCCAGGGGTGGCCGGTGACGCCCGCCCGGC